AAAAGATATATATATATATATATATATATATATATATATATATATATATATATATATATATATATATATATATATATATATATATGACATATACTTCAGTCAGGAATTCAATTAAATTTGAATTGCATGTGTAACAAATTCACTGGAAACTACCATTCTGGAAAGAGTTCCAGTGAATCACAGTAAGAGCCATGATGGGGAAATCAAAGCAGTGGTGAACATCACCAGCAAAAGGTGGCTGATTAAAGTTACTCCTAGAGTGATGATGCATGCATTTGTGATATAAGTGAAACATTTCTGCAAAGTGTCTAAAGTCCTCAACAGCATTGTAAAAGAGTAATTGCCAGTTATCATACAGTATATTCCCCGATGGCTGCTGTCACCATGGATGGCACAACCAGTTATCAGTTTGGAGAACTCTTGGTGTGGCTAGCTTGTTCCCTATTTTAAATAAAATGATCATTTGCATATTGCATGCTGTATTTACACTTGTTATCTTTAGGCAGAGGTGTTAAACTTTTTTTGCTTGGTTATGAGTACAGATATGTGTTTAAAAAAAAGGTAAAAGTAAACGTAAAGATTGAACTCCTTAACTAAAAGTAGAAAACTACATGTTCTACATTGTGCTAAAGAACAAAAGTAAAAAAAAAAACTCTAAAAAAATATTTTTATTTTTCTCTTTTGTTCACTGTGATTTTGTCTTTTGTTCATGCAGAGAGCTCCAGAACTGTAGGTAAGGGTTGTTCTAGAGCTATATTAAAATGTCTTTTTAAAAAGCTACCTAAAACCCTCTTTAGAGCATGCCGCATTTCATCCTTTTTTAACCTTTGTTAAAATTTTTTACACTATATTCAAATTTAATAAAAAAAAAAAAGCTTTTTCTCAGCTGCACTTCTTTAGCCTACGTCACAACATCAACCAGTCCCTGATTGGTATTCGTGCTACGATTTCACAAGAAAGTTAAGATTTTCCACTTCAGAGGTCACAGCTCCACTCTTTTTATGTTCTGTTAAGTAGCAAGAGGTGAGATTAGAGCATTGAGGTCCTCACTGTCCTTCCCCAAGCAGTTTACATACTGTAGGGATACTATGTAGATCAATCACCCTCGCCTCAGATTGGGCCGGAGCTCATTCTTCCAACAAGATAATGATCCAAAACATAAAGCAATTTCTGACCAGTCATTTGAGCTTATTGAAAAAAAAATACTAATATATTCTGTACTCTCTATTATATCAACTTTATCATTGTTTGCTACTCCTCCACAAACAGCTCACAAAAATGAGAATAGCCAGCCTTACTTAGACAGTAGCTTGTAATAATACACTACACCCTGTAAGGTCTAAATAGCTATCACAATGCAAATGATCATAAACTGAAGAACATCAGGTTTAGAACCATATCTAAACTTAATTTCTGTTATTTTTCTACATTTACTTAGATCTGCATTTCCAAGAGACTGGGTTTGATATGCATCACTGGTGTTTTCATTCATCAGCTGATACTCATTAAATGATGCAAGGTTTGGCAACACTGTTAATCCTTTTAGATGCAATACTTATTTAAAATTTTAAAAAACAACTAACTATAGTGTTGAACATATCAGCATAAAGCTGATGCAGAAGGTAAAAATCTTATTTATTAGATTTTTTATTGGATAAGTTTTGCTTTTCTGTTTTTGCTGATATAAATTTTTTTGCAAGTCTTTAAACTGACTCTCCCCTTTTATTGTACTGTTCAGGTCTTTTTCTATCCACCATATTCAAAATGTGTCAAGTGACTTTTCAACCCATCTTTCCCATCTTGACATCTCTTAAGTAAGAAACTCAGCTCTTCTACAGCTCTGTGACTTGAGGTCATTTTGTTCAAAATGCTCACTAAATGTCAGAGGCGGTCAAGCGCCTCCACAAGAACACAAATTGCCCTAAAAGCTGCTGCTGGCCACCTGTCCATCGCATCGGTGCTTTCTCAGGTCATTGATTATGACGTTTAACCCCTTCATGGCTTTTCATTTAGGCAAATCACTGTCAAATGATATGATTGGCTATGATGGATGGTGGGTACGTTTGTGATTGGAGGAGACAGTGGGCAAAACTTTCCTTGAGGTGATGTTATTCTTTGTACTATTAAAAATAAGTATTAAAAGAGAAAAAAAAATCAACACCACATATGTTTTTATATATAGATTAATTAAGGATCATTTAATTGGGCTCATTAAAATACCGTTTGTCATACTTTAACATAATTGACAGTAATTGTTTTAGGTTTCATTGTAAACACAAAATAACTGTTGGCTTTGATGGCTGAAGTGTTGGGTAAATTATTATTATCCCCTTTGGTCCACAGAATGCATCAAAACCAATTGATAGGATGGAATCATTCAGACATAATCTGTAGACTCATTGTGTCCGATGACCATGGAAAAAAAACAAATTTTTTTCTATCTGGAGCCAGAAAATCAAAAATGTAATACCCAGAGAATCACTTGGTGCCAAGTGGAAAAAAAAATTGTAATATGTTAGTAATGCATTTGCTAAATACGTCACAGTCACCACATTATATCTGGAGGTTTCTAAATGATGTCGCAAGGGAGAGAGAATCGCAGCACTATAGTTTGCATATTTAACTGCACATACAGTATATTTTAGCAAAATTTAAAGTTTAAATTGTAAAATAACCAGATGAATGCATTCCACATTATACATGTTAAATGGTTTCATGGTTGATTTTTTAAGTTTAACCTTATTAAATCTTAGAAGCCTGTGTCTTCGACCAAATGCTTTAGCACCAGTCTGTATTTATCCTAAAGAGTATAGTCAGTCTTATGTTTTATTAAGCGAATAAACCCACTAATCTGTTATTTTTTTACTTTAAAATTTGTGTTTAAAAAGCTATTCTAATAGCCTGCATCATTTAACTGACAATGACAATGTAGGGTAAAGAGTTTTAATTAAAGGCCATCAAAATGCCCTGCAAACGTCACATGCATCGATACTTATTTATTAATCACAAATATTATGATGTTTAGATTTTTTTTACAAATAAAAATGTAAGTCATTTTGTGCATGTGAATTTTAATTTAAGTGAGCATATATGTTTATGCATTTATAACTTTTAATTGTTTAGGTAGGTTCATATCTGTGCTCCAGCTCCAATCCTAACAGGCAGAGAAAAATGGCCAAAGTGGCAGCATGGACAAAAACAGATTGAGCAAAAAAGAAACTAAGCACCAGCCTCTCTGTGAATAAATTTCTAGGCACTGAAAGACTGCTGCCAAATGAAATGCTGTCTGTTTACATACTGTTCAAGTGCAAAAGCTAGCGGTTGACACAGGCAGCAAAGTGTGATTTTGCCCCTACACAAAGAGTCACAGTTCATATTGCACCAGACCAAGTGTGAAGGTCTCGTTTAGCAGATAGAAGAAAGAAAAAAAACGCGAAGATGGACACCAAAGCTGTCATCAGCTGTAGTTTGTTGCAAAAAGATTACCTCTCTCTGTTGAACTTGAGGGAATGGAGGACAGCTGGTCTCTTCTGCCTCAGGTTCCACAAGTGGATGCTGTCATCTGCCAAAGCGCTCACCAATGCTCCCTGTTTCAGCAGAGATGTAGGTTTTTAGTTTCTTAAACTTTTCTTTAAATAAAGAAAAACATTGAATACACAAGGTTTGAACTGAATTTTTCATAAACACGTCCTCAGAATGAATTTTTTTTTCTCCTCTGTGAACATGACATGCATTAATCACATCGCATTCCCAGGCAGCTTGCTCCCAGGTAACAATGATGATTCATAAGATGTATAAAAGTGTATGTGTGCATGTAGGAGGAACTAAAATCATCTCCATCTCCCTGAAGGATATGTTTGAGCTGCTGAGTCACAGTCACACAGAGGCAGAAACACACACACACATAAACCAAACATGCATGACTGAGTATGAAATGCTGCTTTTACAAAATACGTTTCAGAACATAATCAAGTTGGTTTCATTATGTGACTCAGAAAAGCCAGGAGGTAATCCAGACCACTGGACCACTGGCATGTTTAAGACTTCATGATTGCAGCTCAGAACATGCAGAACATTTGTGTAGGCCTTACGGTTTACAACAATGTATGAACAAGATTTAACATTTAGGTTAAGTAGTTCAATATTAAGACATAAGGATGGTATTATAAGTAAAATGTAACAATAATTACAATACAAAAGCTGTAATCCAGCATTATAAT